TTTCTGTCCGGTCCGGGGTGACACTCAGCCCGTACTCTGCCCGGCCCAAATTCTAGCAGCCCACTTTGGGTAAAAAGTCGATCGTCTCGGACCTATGCGCCGTTGGGCCCTCAACTTGCTCGGTCGATATCTCGGCCCAACTCCAGATCATAAATTACCCTCTCAGTAATAGATTTGAAAGTTGCTTCACAACTGGAGATGAAAAGTGAATGTATAAAAATTTGGGACAAAGAAACCAAGAATATTATGAAAAATTAAAAAAAGAAAGAGATTAAAGCCTCGTTTGACAAGTGTATATTTTAATTTAAAAGCTAAAAAGTTATTAAAAAATCAAAAAGGTTATAATTTTATCCGACACATCTATCCTATGTTGCCGTTTTGGGAAGAACCATAAAAAGCTACATTTTTTTATCATTTTCCAAAAACGTAAGTGGCCAAAAACGTAACAAATTTGGTTTGGGAAGGGCAAAAAACGCAGGTGTGAAATTACAAATTAGGTCCTATGATAAAAAAAATAAAAAAAATAATTTTTTTATGTTAGATAAGGGTATTTTGGTCATTTTAATTTGATTTGACACCATAAATAAATATTAAACTAAAAAGCAAAAAGTCAACTTTTTACCAACTTCTCAAATCACTTTTCAAAAAGTTAAAAAACTTAATAAAAAGTCAAAAATTAATTTTTTATCAACTTTTCAAAACACCCCTCTACGACAAAGCGCACCACTCATGACACACTCTCCATCTCTCTCTCCCTCCTCAGTGACACACACCACTCATTTTTTTCTCTCTCTCTCATTTCAAATTATTATTTTTTAAATATAAAAATTAATTTGATAAAATAAATTAATTTTTATATTAAAAAAATAATAATTTAAAAATATAATTGAAGATAATAATTTCTTTTTATTTATTTTAGTTTTTTATTGAATATATTTAATATTAATCTCATTTTAAAGGTATATTTTTAATGATATTAATTTTATAAAATTAAAATTTTGTATTGAAAATTATATATATGTATATTATATTATGAAAATAAAATGAAAAGATTAAAATAGTTTTTTTTCATTTTTTATTAAAAATATGAGAGAGAGAGAGAGAGAGAGAGGGGACGAGTGAATAAAGAGAGGCCTGATCAAGTGAGTTGTACCGCCGCTGCATCACTTGTCAGGTGAAGACACTCACAAATTGCACAGAAAATTTCGGAAGGGTAAAATTGTCATTTTACTCATGCTTATTTTATTTATATTACTTTTTCACATATTTTTGTAAAAAATTAAAAAATTCTTGCCAAACACTAATTTTTTTACATTATATTTTGGTCAAAAGTCAAAAGTTACTAAAAAAAAAAAAAAAAAAAACTTATTTTTAAACGAGGCCTAAATCTAATAAAATAATAATAAATAAATCTTATGGAATGATTTATATATAAGTATTTTTCTGTTATTTTCCCAGAACCAGCAAAAGCTTCTTCTTTGGCAATGACGAAGCTGTTGATGACGATCTAGAGAACCAAGTTTTTTTTTTTTTTTCATAATTTGTTTATTATTTGGATGTGTCATAAATTGTGATTTTATCTTTGAGGATAATTTGAAAAAAAATATAAGGTGTATTAAAAGTAAATTATAATCTTAAATAATTTAACAAAAAATATTGAGAAATTAGACATACTAAATTAATTTTTGAGTGCAAATAAAATCACCCTTATTTTACAGGCACCCCTTTTAGAAAATTGTACTCACATATAGGCCCAACTTCACACTAAACTTGGTGGGTTGGGATTAGTTTTTTTATTTGGTTTTTGTTTTTTTTTCTCTAATGATTTAAAAAAATAAAAAAAACTTTAAATTTTTAGGTTGTACTCAACTAGATAAAAAAAAAAGTAAAAAATAAAATAAAATATTTGAAAAAAATTCCATTAAAAGCAAAAAAAAAAAAAGGTGAGCTTTTTTGGGAGTGTGTTTGGGATTGACTTTTTAATGTCTTCTTCTTCTTCTTTTTTTAGTTTTGTTTGTAATGTCCTTCGTTTGGCAAGAGTTTTTTTTTTTTGGCCATTTTAGTCACACCATTTTAGTCACAAAAGACAACATATGCTATTTTAGTCATAACAAACAAAATATCACATCCAATCCATAATCATTACACTATTCTCTCACAAAAAAAGTTAAAAAAGTCAAAAAACCCTTCCAAAGCCAAACTTTTTAACCATGACTAAAATAGTCAAAAAAGTTAAAAAGCTAAAAAGCCAACCCACTTCCCAAACGGATGATCAACTTGGTTTATTAGTTAGTCATAAACTCATGTTGATCAATTAATAATTTCAATTAATCATCTTAATCAGTTGTAGGCAAGAAATTTTGGTTGAGTTTTCATATCTTATTTTTTGAAAAATTATAAAACAGTTTGACAAAAATTCAGGAGAGTTTTTTTTTTTTTAAATCTTTTTTATGGAAATAAATAGGGTTTTTCATTTATTATAATTATTTCCTTTTTCATTTTTTTTTTCACCAAGTCAATTTTTTTTTTTTAAAACAAATTTTAAAATTTTAACCAAACAGAAATATAGAATATTCTCTACTGATCCCAAATTGCACGTTCTAGTGGTTTGTTCATCATAATGCACAAATATGCAACTTAGCTTAGAAAAATCAATGTCATAATAGTGATGCATCACCTTTACATCTTTCATATTTCTTCATTCATGCACACAAATATAAAACAAGTCTATCATAGACATTATTAAGAGTCAAAAGCAATTGCAAAAGCAAAAAAGGTGTCACTACAATGTTTTTGTGCTTCAACAATAGCACCAGTTTTTGTCACCATTCTCTAACTTTTGTTCATCTTTTGTATAAAGATTTTTGCCACAAGACACAGAAGACATGACCCATTGTATTTGTTGAAACAAGTCACTTTTCTAGTGAATTATTTTATTTTATTTCTTTTCCTTTAAAATTGTATTTTTTATTATTGACCACCCACATAATCATTCAATTGGATGCCAAGGAATGCACAGCATAATCATTCAATTCAATTGTAGATCATGTAATTTTCTTTTTTTGGGTATTAATTCAGATATTATAGTTCTAATTGCATTACTTTTATCTTTGCATGTTTTACATTTGTGTTAATTTTTGTTCAATTAATAATGCCACCCGCTCTCTACAAAATGATTGAGAGGTTGACGTTCAATTTGACATAATTCATTCTCTTTTGAACAGATCATTTTTCCTTTGATTTCTATTCAATTTTTTAATAGATATTATCAATTGGATTAAATTTACACAATGTGAAAAATTGAAAAACAAAATTTATACAATTGGATATGTAGGGACCAAATTGACATAAGAGAGAAATTATAAAGACCAAAGATTTAATTTATCATAGTTCAAATGAGATGGTTTGTGTGCTACTGTGATTGAAAAACAAAAATGTAAACAGGTTGAAAACATAGGAAAATTAGAAACAATTCTGAAAAATAACAGATATTGTTCTAGAAACTTAAAAATAATCATAATGCGAATTAATCAGAAAAGAAACTTCAAGATTCGACTGGTACTTACCAACTTCTTGTATGTCTTTCTCCAAGGATTCAAATCGAACTTAAAATTTATATTCTTTGTTTGGTTGCTTCTAAATAGCTACGAAAAAGAGTAAATTACAACTACATTTCTTCTTTACCAAAAAAAATATATATATATACTTCTTCGGGTTTACTTAAAAGAAAAATGTTAGGGATCTCAAATGTTTTATCAAATGGCCACATCCATATAAGACATTTGGTAGAATATTTGGTAAAATATTTAGGGTCTCTAACATTACTCTACTTAAAAATACAGATTGTCCTTTGTAGTTTAAAAAATTATACATATGCCATTGTCACAAATTTTCATTTAACAAAATTAATTGAAAAGTTGAAATTCTTAACTGTTCTTTTATGCAGTAATAAAATTAGTTGAATTATTAATTGAAATGTATTTATGATATCACTAAAAATTGTTAATTGACTTGATGATTTATTAATAAAATGGACCATTTTTTTATGAAATTAAAAATTTCAAGGGACGAAATATAATTTTTTGAATCGAAGAAAGTAATTCGTATTTTAAACAAATCTTAGAGGATATATTTATAATTTACCCCCACAAATAGTGGTAATCAAAACAAGCCTTTTTTTAAAGATAAATTTCGTTAAAAATAGTAAATATTTTGGTTTATAACTCGTTTGGGTTGGTTGATTTGAGAATAAAATAGAAACACTATCACTTATTTATATTAGTAAAGAAGAGAGATCGTGGTGAAACGAGAAGAAATGGAGAAATATCCATTTATCTTGTAACTTTCATTTTGAATGTTTTAAAAATTAAAGAGATTAGAAAAGAAAGAAAGAAAAAAAAGAGAGTCCTCCAAATATAGAAGGGAAAAAAAAACTCGCACCTATAAAATGTTATTTCAGTAATATATAATATTAAACAATTATTTTATTTTCTTATATGTAGTTTAACTAAATAAGATTAGACATATAACTAAACCAAATGGAGCCTATTTTTTGTCTTATTTTCTCACCTATTTATTCAAATAAAAGAGAGAAAAAAAAACACAATGGTGTCGTTTGGTAACACTTACGTTTTCAGTTTTCTATTTATATTTACAAAAATTTAAAAACTCAAATAAAAACTTGTTTAATAAATTTTTGATTTATAAATTAGTGGTCTCAGTTTAATAATTTGGCCAAAAAATATAAACTCAAAAAATGTGTTTCCGTTTTGAGTTTTCGATTTTTTTGTTTTTTTTACCACCTAACACTAGCTATCACCCGCTACCATTTTCCACCACCGTCTTCCACCACCACCACCCACCTGCCACTACCACTCACCACCCACCACCCACCACCATTCACCACCTGTCATCACCAATCAGCAGCCACCACCCACCTGCCACCCACTTGCCACCAACACCCATCCCTTGCCACCACCACCACCACCAGCTTTTGTGTTTCAAGAACTTTCTGATTCGGGACTTTCTTCTCTCCTAATCGCTTTCCCATCCCGGTAATTGGACTTGTTTTGATCAAACGGAACCGTCTCATTTTTATGGTTCGGAGGCGACCCTGAACCCGAAGGTGTTCTTTCTTCTGATGAAGAACGAGATGGCTCGTCTGTCTCAGTAGCGGCATTAGGGCCTAAGTCCATGAATTGCCTTGGCACCACCGGTCCTCCTGCCTCATGATGTTTCTTATCTTCTTCTACTATCTGAACATACATAGTAAATAATGGTAATGAGAATCAAATTAAACAAACAAGCAAAATTTTTGAAGATCAATGCAATCGAAGATGGTTAAAATGATCACCATTGTCGAACTCTGTTGTTGTTGGTGTTGCATTAATGTCATTAGTTGCATCTGTAGAGTACTGTAATTGTGGCTAACTTGAGAAAGCATCCCTCTTAACCTCTGATTTTCTGCATTCATTTGTTCAAGCTCAACTTGCAACAGTCCGAGCTGAAACATAAAATTAACTCTCAGCTAAGCATAAACTCCAGTTAATCTTAGTGCACAGAATCGGATCACAGAATGAGTCATATTTAGTGTATTTGGTTTGAGTTTTCTGAATTAAATTTTTTGAAAACTGAATTTATTGATTTTCATGTTTTTTTTTTTGGTTTTTAGTGAATATTTTTAAAATTTTAAATATTTTTTTATACTTTTTTAGAAGTATCTTACTTAGATGTATCTAAAAAATAAAAAATTTGTGAAAAAATATTTTAAAAAATTAATAAATACATAAAAATACAAAAAATAAACTGAATTCTTGTATTTTTTTTTTGTATTTTTGGTATTTAGTGAATTTTTAAAAGATTTTTTTTACAATTTTTTTACTTTTTACGTGTATTTTTGTTAGGTATGTCTAAAAAGTAAAAAAATTGCTCAAAATATTAAAAAAAAAATTTAATAAAAACAAAAAAACAGAAAAAAAAGAAAGTAGAATTTTCTGAAAAATATTTTAAAAAAAATGGAACTAAGCAAAGTGATTTTTCTCCCTCTCCTAACTTATCTAACAATTCCCATTTTTCTCTCCTAAATTGTGAAACATTATTAGCTAACAAACAATGATGATATGAATAACAAATAGAACTTTATGGTTATTTTCTTGGCCAAGTTTTTATTTTTATTTTTTTATTATTTTTATTTTTGGCAAACAGCAAATGGGTGATGCAGACGCCATCAGACCCTAGACTCAAGCTAAAACATTGTTTAAGACAACGTTTAAAGATATCACACCCGGAAATTTCGGATGTTTTAGGAAGATAATTAAAAGTTATTAATTAGCTCTTTTTTAAAAATTTTTTGTGAAACAGGAAAATTGATTAAAAGTTGAGAAGTGACTTTTATTCTATTTTTCAAAATAGGCCGAAAACTCAATCCCGAATTAAGGAGTGTTTTGAGAAGTTAGTAAAAAGTTAATTTTTTAACTTTTTGATTTTTTTAACAAAAAATCTGACTCTTTTAATGATTTTTTTTTATAATTTTTTAGAAAATCTTGATAAAAAATCAAAAAATTTAAATTTTTATCAAATTCCCCAAAGGGTACTAAAGTAGTAGTGAAGAACGAGCAGAAAGTGCCCAAACCAGCAACGCATTCGGGTTTGGTAGTACAAGTCACGTGACATATTATTCCCACACCCAAACAGCCATCTCTAGAAAGTACATTCAGTTTTTAAAGTTGGCCAAAACTTATGGGTATTATTTTAGTTATTACATTTTTAATTGATTTGATTTTTAATAATAATTTTAGATTTTGTATCGATTTTGTTTAATTAATAATATTGATTAGAGTTTTTGACATAAAATAATTACTGAGTTAATTTGAGGTTAACTTACTAAGCCTCTGTTTGGAAAGTGGGTTGGTTTTTTGGTTTTTTGACTTTTTTAACTATTTTAGCCTGGGCTAAAAAGTTTGATTTTGGAAGGGCTTTTTGGCTTTTTGATTTTTTTGAATTTTTTTGTAAGAAAAGAATGTAATGATTATGGGTTGGATGTGATATTTTATTTTTTGTGACTAAAATAGCCTATTTTATTTTTTGTGACTAAAATAGCCAAAAAAACCCGTTTAGCTCTTGCCAAACGAAGCCTAAATTGATCAAATTTATAATTTTATTTCCTAGTAGCATGACACATATCGGTCATGTGTACATTTTCATAAAAAAAAGTTAATCAGTGCAATCAATTGAATCAAATTGAGCAAAATCACAAATTTAATGTCAAATCAAGTAAATTAAATTATATAAATTAAAATGACACAAACGTCAAAATATAAAGATAACTGCTAAATTGTCGTATGTTATACTACTACATTAATTCATCAGATATTATAACTATATACACATATTACATGGTGTTATATATAACATAGGCTAACATGGGCATTCTACCCCGCCGTAGATTGGAATATGTGTGCAAATTAATCGAGTTATTTATAACTCGAATTTAGCTAATTTAAAAACTATTTGAGCTCGATTTATTATTAAATGAATGAATTTATGTTTAATTTTTAAGTTTGTCTATTAATCGAGCCGAATTTGAGTAGATTCAAGGTCAACTCGATAAGCTCATGCACACAAAGAATATAAATTAATATTTATTTTTATAAATTTATTTGATTATTTATTTATGTCTGGTGTTTGTGTAAATTTTATATATTAGTTTAATAAAATTTATAATTAATATGAATATACTTTTATTTACGTTTGGAATTTATTTAATTTTATATATATTTGTAAGCTCAACTCAACTTGACTGGATGTGTTTTCAGAAATTGTGCTCTATTTTTTTTTTTAAATTAAAAATTAATTTGATAAAAATAAACAGTAATTTTTGTTTTGAATTTTCAAAATTTATATTAGCCCTGAAAAGAAAAAAAATGTGAAAATAATTAGTTTAAATTCTGAAAACAAATTAGAAAATTTAAAACTCAACCAAACCAAGTGCTTAAAAAATTATTAAAAAAATAAAAAAATTAATACTATTCACAAAAGTTTTTTAAGGTTACTAAAAAGAGTAAAAAATTTAATCCTATTCACAAAAGTTTGGACGGAAAAAAAATTCACTAGTCAGAGGACAGAAGACAAATTTGTCCTTCTATCTGTCCGTTTCACTGCCCTAAAAAAATTTAAAAAAAAAGGAGTAAAAAAAACTTACACAGAGCTTTCGCACAAAGCTTACAAACTTGTACACAAAGCTTAACAGCCGTACTGACATACACATGCATGTCAATACTCATATGGATAAAAAAATAATTTTATTATTTTATATAATATTTTAATACATATTTTTTTATAAAAAGATAAAAAGTTATCTCAAATAATCATATTTTTTTCTTTATTTTTTTATTCAAAAAATCAAAAAATACACTTATATAGCTCATCCCAAACAACTATTATTTTTTATTTTTTTATTCAAAAAATCAAAAAATACACTTATATAGCTCATTCCAAACAATCATTATTTTTTATTTTTTTTTAAAATAAAAGTGTTTAGTAGTATGAATTTAAATTTATATATTGTGGTTTGGCTAAACTCAAAATAAACAGGGTAAATTATAACATTCCCTGAGATTTGAAGAAAACGTAGTAAAGTTTTACAAGTTTGACATAATTATATTATTCTCTCATAAAGTATTAATTCATATAAAAGCATCTCCACCTTTTATTCTAATTTTTCATTAAATTTGAATAAAAAATTAATGAAAAGTTTTACATGATATCAGGCGTTCCAACGCCAATTTTTTAAGTTTCTTGGGTGGACAATCAGTAGGACAACCGGCAATGGGCAACTTTGCAAGCAACAATAGGCAACTTTGCAAGTAATTGGTTGTCTAGGAGGACAACTGACTGGTCGTCTAGTGTACGTGAAGCCTCAACGGTTATTTGTAAAAATTTGATGAACGCTGAAGCCTCCCTCAATTTGATGAAAATTTTGGATTTCTCCTCGTTTGATATGGATTTAATGTTAACGTTGGAGTAGAAAAAGTGAGCATTTCAAAAAATATGAGTAAGGCTTAGAGATGCTCTAACACTTGTTAGTTATATGAGAAATTTGTTAGTTATATGAATAAAAAAATAATATTATCATGTCTTTTATATTAATATATATATATATATATATATTACTTTATGTATCTTTGTGTTTTCATATCAATTTCTTTACTTTTAGTCTCTTTAATCTTATTAAAATAAAAGTGAGTGCAATTATATTAAAATTATAAATTCTTTTATATTTTTTTCAAACATAAAAAATTGTTAGTATAATTTATCTAAATAAATTAGGGGAAACAGAGTCCACAAAATTCAAAATTGACATGTAGTTTTGGAAATATGGCAAAGAAAAGTGCCAAAGACATCTGTGTGGAGCAAAAATGGGTGAAAATCACCCTCAATAATTATTGATATGTCCAACTGCACATTCAGGGGTGTTTTGGGAAGGGATAAAATAACTAAAAGCTTACTTTTTATCAATTTTGGAATATATGTTTGGTTTGAGTTTGGGAGATAAGTTTTAGAGATAAAAAGTACGAAAAGTTATTTGGTTTGATTTTTTTCAAAAGATGTTTTGGAAAATTATTTTGAGAGAGAGTTTTGGAAAAAGTGATTGATTTGATGTATATGAGAGAGATATTTATTTGGAAAACTTGTAAACCAAACAAGTTTTGAGAAATTTTTTTGGAAAAATTTGTTTGGTTTGATTACTTTTGAAAACTTATTCATAGAGAATTTTTCCTAAAAATTTTTAGAAAACACAAACCAAACAAGGCCATCATAAAAATAAAAACCTTTAAATCCTATTGTTTGGTTTGATTTTTCAATGTATAATTTGAATATGATTCTCAAAATATGTGAATTATACTTTATGAGTGGTACATGATTTGATAATCACATATACTATTTGAAATCAAATTGGACTGTTTAAATTTATTTCTCATAAACATATTTTATTAATTTTTTTACATCCCGTGCATAGCACGGGTTTTTACTAGTATATATATATAGGTTTCATTTGCAAGTGAGTTTTGACTAATTTAGTTCACTAAAAGACAAAATATATTAAAAAACTAATAAGACAATGTAGCATTCAAATTATAAATTTTCTTTTTCTCACAAAACTACAAAAAAAGTCAAAAATTCTTAAACGGAATTTTTTTAACCAAACTAAAATAATAAAAAAAAATTAAAAAGTTAAACTAAAGAAATTCTTCCCAAAGAATGCATAATTTATTGTCTATAGTAGCCATTTGTATAGTGGTAAAATTAAATATAAATAATTATTAGATTGTAAATAGTATTTTATAATTGTATTATGAACAATAACAATAATTCTAAAACTCATGATTCTATGTTGAACCGAATGCATTTTACAAATAGTTGTTTGAATTTTATTTTTAAATCGAATCAATCTAAACCACGTTCACCTTCACCAATTTTTAAATTTTGTTTTTTCATTCTTTAAGGATGCTGCTAGTGTCACGGTATGAACAATGCAAG